GGGGTGGGTGGGCGTATGGACGGGCGGGCGTATGGTCGGGCGGGGCGGTTTGGCAGCGGGGCGTGCGGACGGGGCGAGCGGGCGGGGCGAGCGGGCAGGGCGAGCGGGCAAGCGGGGTTGACAGGAGGCCAGAGAGAGCGAGTGGGCGTGTGGCGAGAGGGGCGCCGCCGTCCCGCTGCTACCGCCGCAATCCCGCGCTGATGCATATTTAACCGCTGGCCAACGCGGTGCAGCAGGTGGCGGACACCGCCTCTGACATCTGGCAAAGCCCCCTTCCACGGCGCTTGCTCCACGCCACTTCCTTCACTGTGCGTCTCGGCTCGAAAATTGGACGTGCGTGTGTTTCAAGTTAGCTATACGTTTTAAAGACGTCTTTTGATATATAAACGACTTCGTATAAATAATGAAAACTATTTTCACTGTGTCATTTCATATTCAGGATCATTCATTTAATATGCAGAAAGTAGTTTGCAATTAATTTCACCATTTCATGAGCAATAAGTGAATTAGTGAAGAAGAAATTTCAAGTACCGACCTTTAATGACGTTGGAATGCCATATACTATCTCTTGAAAATATAAAAATAAAATATATGTGATTAATATTAATTTTAAATTTTTTATACAAAATTATCTCCATATTTTATTCAGTATTTTTTATTGAAATCTTCTTAATGGTTGTGCACAAGCGTGATTGTAAACATGTTGCCGTTATTTACTCTGTATACTATTATTGTAAAATATATTGACGATGATTATGGTAATAATGATATTTTAGAGGACTAATAAAGGAAGAGACTTATGCCCGTTACTAATGTTTAATGGCAACAGAAACAGAACGAAACCCATGCAGCATTCGACCACATGGGAGGTGATTATAATTTCATTAGAAACCCAAGTGCGTGGGAAAATACAAAAGTAATAAACCAGTTGTGATTTTCATTTAAAATGCTAATATTCGAGTTTTGCCGCATCATTTCATATTGCTGTTGTCTAAATCCTTATACACAGAGCGTCGCACTTTACAACATATTCAACGTCATACTGGCAGAAAGACTTGCAGGAATAGCCACCATTAAATATTTGCTCTTCATGTATTGCTTTACTGAACAGCATTTTTATTTTACATTGTCTGTTGTATACTGTATGTATATTGAATTACATTATCGCAGACTTTGTGCTGACTGTTATATAAAAATATTTAATTCGTTTATATGTTATAAGAGAGTATTTTATTTTTGTTACCGAGCAGTAAGCTTGCTTCTTTTGGAAAAAAGCATTTTGTAAGCGTTAGTTTTGTAACATATTTACTGTCGTAGAGAGACAGTGATCCATTGTTTACTAGATGGATGATTTAAAAAGTGGACTGTCATTCCCTTCCTTTGGATGATGTTATATGTGATTATTGTGGGTGGATTATGCGAGATTAATCATTATCGAGAAAGTGATGTTTCAGATGTCACAACATGGTACACCTTGAAATCAAGGAATGAGAAGTCAACACGTTACTTCCACTTGGTGAACTATGCTATATCTTCTTATGTTGTCCTGTACTATTTTTAAATTATAATTTTCAAAAGTACACAAATTCAATGAAAATGAGATATGATTCATTCTCTTAAGTGTTCTATATGATATTCAAAGACAGTATTTAATCCAAAAATGTGAAGCCATTTTTGAAAAAAAAGAAATGAAGATGTAATTGAAGTTTGGATACCCCCCAAAAAATTAAAATATCAATTTTCGCAGGTCCTCGCATTTATTTTAATTGACCGAGTAATTTCAACTCTGAAGAAAACAAGCTGAATGGTTTAGACGCCAGCCTTGACCACAGAGAGACGGAAAAACACAACGACGATTTGCCGTCAATCGATTTTTCGGTATCAAGAACCCAAAACACATGGATTCTGTCTGCATAACTTGTTAGAGAAAGTAAAAGGAAATGAGATTTATTCATTTTTTCGTTACCGGGAAGCAGCAATAAGAGTTTTTCTGTCGAAAATTCGCCTTTTTCGCCGTACGATTTCAATACTTTCTCTTCTAATGAAGTGAGAGCAAAAATAAGTACAAAACAATTACTTCGAGTGGTTGAAACCATCATCCAAATTGAACGTGGACTGATTAATTGATCGATTGTCTAATTTTTTCACGTTCTCTCTAGACAGCGGTTGAACTCGACCTGGCTCTCTAGGTAGTATCGAAAATCCTGCCACCTTCGGGACTCACACTCTAGGATCTATCAGTTAATAGGGACATCAATTGATGCCCTGAGCCACCTCGGCGGGCGTGGACTTGAATGCCAGCACTGGTGCAAGCGCCTGTGCAACGGGCGTCGGAACACATACTTCACAAGTTGCGTCTATTTTGATACAATAATCGCGGCAAACTCAATCCGCAATAACTCCGATTCTACTGTTCTAATCACAGTAGTAAAAGGCTGATTAAAAACAACTATTTGTAGAATGAGTCTGATATTATTTGATTAATAAAGTTAAATTACTAAAAGGAAAAGAAAAATGAATTCATATGCACAGAGAATCTCCGGGGAACTGCTGGTGAATTCACTAATAAAGGAATCTGTGAGCTCTGTAATATCAGAGAGAAATAATTAAATGCACTTCATAATATTGAATAATTAAAGCTTTTATTTCAAGTGAAGTAATGAACCAGGTTAGAATTCAAAAAATCCCGTTAAGGTTTTTGATATTTTAGAATTCGAAACCAGTACGTTCATAATTACTTTGATGGCTCTCTTGACGAATATGCTCTAGTTTTTTTTAGTTTATTTCATTATGCGTAGGTTTTTGGAAATGATCTTGTGAGCCTAAAGCCAATTTAACTTCGAAAAAGGAAGTTCAAGGACCGGGAATTTTTACGCACGATACTTTTTTTTCGCGTGTGCGCGGAAACTTCAAAGTAGTGTTCCTTGAATATTCTAGCAGATTTGTAAAAAGTAACTTAACTTTTAATAAGTTTCAGGGGAACTTCCCTTCCGGTTGTATTTCCAAACAATGTTTCAACATGAAATACTGTTTCTTTTTTGGAACTACGTATAATATATAATTGAATTGACATGCAAAATTTTTTCTCACTCGAGATGATACAACTAAGCTTCAAGTCAGTAGCAGTTAACAACACATTTGGAATAATCTTGTCGTATTTCAGTTAACTGTAAGCTGTATCGAAAAGATTAAGAAAATATAGATATTTTCAAAATATTAATGAAGGGATAAATTTATCATATTTTATAATTTTTAATTAACAAATTACAAATTTAATTTTTAAGTTAAGTTTTAATTAACAAATTTGAAAGTTAAACTTGAAAAAGAAAATAATATCATAATATGTGTAATACTTTTAAATATTAGTA